TTCATCGACCCCCAAACATTTATTATATGAAAATAATTTAATAAATACGACTTTAACTAATAGTATTATGAATAATAATAACCATAAAAATAGGTAATATTTAAAATATGAAAAATATAAGATTTAACATACCTTTATTATTGAAACTGTTGATACCTACCTTACCTTCAGGACTAGGGACTGGCGTGGAGCTCTACAGAGACCCCAAAAGATTAATAGACCCTAATCGACCTTCCATCATTTATCAGCCACCTATTGACCGCCAAACATTTACTGACCCCTTGGATAGTCCCATCAACCCCTGGGGATCAATATTGACCACTTCGGGGAACTCTGACTTAGAGGGAAACACCTTTCTGCTGGCTGGCTCCCTTGAACAATATTCTTTGGGTTCTTAAATACAGTGTGATGCTATTTCATGACATGGAACTAAAAGGTTACAAAAAATCAGTGTAAAATTATTTAGCAGAAAGCAGTTTGGTGCGGCTGTTTCCTGTAAATTCTCAGCCAGAGATCAGAAACTGGGCATTGTGCCTGACCTCTGCATTCTGGTTACAGGGAGAAGGAGGAAGTTGAAGTGGTAGACCCCAAAGCACGAGCAAAAGCCAACTGGTTACGGGCGTTCAACAAAGTCTGCATGCAACTCCAAGAGGCAGGTATCTCTTGTGAAGCTGGGAACATACATGGGACATTTTTGGGAAACGCCATTTGCTGTTTGTTATATAGACAAGAGTTTTCTATACCACTCTGCATCAAAGTCCTGAACCTTGTTTCTAATGAAAAAGGCACAGTCTAAGTTTAAATCAATAAACTGACGAAACCCATCTTTTTTTCCCTCCTACATTAGATATCCTTCCAGCTAAAAATGCTTCCAACTGTTTTCTCTCTGAGGTTCTCTGTGGCTTTTGCCATTTTGAATTATCTGGTTTTGTTTTTAAAACAGAATGGGTACATCAGGAATCCTCCTGTATTAATATTGATTTTAAATGGTCAGATTTTTGTAGACAGCAAATAGTAGTAGTTGCTTCAGTTTATTTTTGACTTGTGCACACGTTATCAGTAATACATAAAAACATTACCAGTGATCAGTACTGCAAAAAGGTACATGGATACTTGATAGCATAATTCTTTTTGTATGGTGTGCAGTGATAATGCACTCAGATGTGATTAGATTTATGCTTAGGTCAAAATTGTTTTCTGTATGTTTTCACACTGTCAGGGTGGTCCTGTATGCCTCGATGAAACACCACCCAAAAAGACCCTTCATGAAAACGTGTACAATTCATCTGGGTTACCTTTTTCCAGTTTCATCAATGTCTATACATAGTCTAGTGAGTGACAATGATGAAGAGCAGTGTTTCTCCACCTCAGGAATTTTAAGATGTGTGGGCATCAACTGACTGGGGAATTCCTGGAGTTCACACATCTTAAAGTTGCTGAGGTGGAGAAACACTGATGTAGAGGAAGTGAAGAACTGAAAGTGCCTATGTTTCAATTCCAAAATTAATTTTAGAAATTCTTTTAGTTTAACCAGCATTGAGAAGTAATGGATTTACAGGGTTCCTCAACCTTGGCAACTTTAAGATGGGTGGACTCCAACTCCCAGAATTCCCCAGCCAGCCTTGCTGGCTGGGGAATTCTGGGAGTTG